AAAGTTAATCACTCCCCTCCTTGCTATAAAACATCTACCTTTACATTTCCAACCCTCACAATCAGTCCTGATAACAATTATTCACTATTGTATCACAAAAGACCCGTCTGCATTTCATTGCATCAGCCCTGGCTAGTCATATTGAATACTACTCACTGGAGATTCTACCTTCCTCCAGGCCCTCTGGATCTAGGTTCCCTCTTGAAAGCTTGTAAGCCAGTCACTTCTTGCCTTTGTAGCCCTCCACCCCCCCTTGCATATACTTTTGCACTTTATAAATTGTGTTCCTCCCTCTGCAAATAAAGATGTTTCACATCAAACACTTTGTGGTTTTTGGTTTGTTTTTCCTCTCATAGATTTTCTATCATTCATAAAGCAAATATTAGTGTTTCTTAAGATCACAACCTGTTACAATGGAAGTGATTTTCAGACACACCTGAGCTTTTCTGTCCTACAATTTGTTTCCTGGAAATGCTTGTTAGACATTCCTAGGCATCTCCATGGGAATTCTAAATCAGTTGAAGTGGGATGGGTTATATGAGGGGGCTTAAAAATTTTTTTGAAAAATTCCATTATCTTTTTTTTTTTTTTAATGTTTTATTGTGAATATATGGGAGAACATTGCATTTTTCCACAAACTTTTTTTTTTCTTAAATATTTTATTGTGAATTATATGATAGTTTACATGGGAGAACATTAGTTTTACATTCATTCTATCGTATAATTGTCTCATTGCCATGGGTATAGTCCACTCCATGCAATCCTTCCCCTGTACCCCCTAGGTCTTCAGCACACAGTCACTCACCCTCTCTGGATCTAAAGTCTCTGGCTGCTCCATAGCTCCACGTCATCATCTCTGGCTCCATTTCAGGCATCACTGCTTCTCTGGGTAGGGTCCCGCTCTCTGCTCTTCTCCCTTGATGGTCCTACGGACCTCCGCTCCTAGACTGAAAAGTTAATCACTCCCCTCCTTGCTATAAAACGTCTACCTTTACAATCAGTCCTGATAACGATTATTCACTATTGTATCACAAGGACCCGTCTGCATTTCATTGTATCAGCCCCGCCTAGACAGATTGAATACTACTCACTGGAGATTCTACCTTCCTCCAGGCCCTCTGGATCTAGGTTCCCTCTTGAAATCTTGTAAGCCAGTCACTTCTCATTTTGGGTAGCCAATGTCCAAGTTGCCCATCCCTGTCTACTCTGTGTGTTTCCACAAACTTTTTGAAGTCCCCCAGTTACTTTCTTTTCTGCTAGATCTTTTCTTATTGTTAAGATTATGTACAGCAAAACATACCAATTCACCAGTTTCTACATGTACAGTTTGATGATATTGATTTCATGCTTTAATTTGTTCATCCATTCTTACCCTCCTTTTCTGAGTTGTTTCTCCTTTATTGACATAAACCCACTAAGTTTCCTATCTAATCTTTCCACTTGTTATTGTCTTTTTGATCCCAGATACGGTGTCAAGTTGGTTCTGTATACTAAAGAACTCTTAAAAGAATGTAATACTCAACGCACATCTTTTTAATTAGTTAAGCTTAATTGCTCAGTTTAAAATGACTTCAGGGAATATTTTTTGTTTAAGGTTTAAAGACTATCTCAGAGCAGTAATTTCAGGGGTTGATATACCCTCCATGGCTCCAAAAAGTCTAGAGTCCATGAGAATTTGAAATTCTATTCTGCATTTTCCCCCTTTTGATCAGGATTCTCTGATCAAACACTACCCAGTATTTCTGGGCTCATGGCAGAGAAGGCAATTAATTGTTCATGGAAGGTATTAGCCACACATTCCATATCCTTTTTCTATTTCTAACTCCTCCAGATGAATAGAGAC